CAGAGGAATGTAACAAATACACTTCCCAGTAACAGATACTGATGTTTTCTCTCATTCATGAAGGCTATGACGAAGACTGACATCTTACTGCCACCAAAACACTACCCAACCAACACCCTTAGAACATCCTTAACACCATGTACCATGGCAGGTCAAACACAAGCCCCATCTTACAAGCAGATTATTTTATGAAGCTAGTAGTGTGCCATCCCTAAATCAAAATACCTTTTACAAAGTTGGTAAGACCTCCTGGAAATGCAGCCATGTCTCTCCATTACTCTCTACACCCTCTCAGCAAGATTCCAACTGCCCCATACCCAGAAGTGCAGCTCTGGACCGGCAGTGCACAACCCCTGCAAGGCACCACACTGGCAGAGGTGACCAGGCAGCTCAGACCTGGCTCTGCAGGCTCAGTAATCTTTTAGAGCATTTCTGTAGTTCATCAGCCTTGCTAAGAAACCATGTGGTGGATTGCTATGACTTAGTATCTGCTGCTGACAAAATCACAGGTGTACTCTTTCCTTTCTGTTTTCATGCACATCTCAGGTCTCAGTGAAAACTGATAGAAGAAATCGTCAAATATGAAACATAAAGAAGAAAGCACAAGAAGGTAAAGATGTTTTAGACTTTGGAACTTCTTCATTTCTACCTTTTAGTTTTTCCATTTTCCCCTACTCTGGCAGCCACCAAATATTATTAACACCCTACTAAACTGCTCCTAGGATGAAAAAAAATTGACAAATCTTCCCAGATACATCAAGTAATTCTCAAGATAAATGAATTGATATAATCCAAGAAGATTTTCATATTCTCACTTTAGGAAAAAAACAAACATAAAATGGACTAACACATAAGCTTTACCTCCGAGTTCATCCTGTTATGGTAGCAGAAAATACTAGAAGCAAAATAAGAAGCTGCAGCCCCCATGAAAGTTGAACTAATGAACCTTCTGCAAAGTGAGTTGACCAAAATTAGCATCAAAAGCAAAAGCCACGTACTACACTGCCATCTTCCTGCTGCAGGCAATACTTGTTCCCAATGAAGAATCCCTGCGGCTGTGCTCATTTTTTTCAGTGCATGGAGCCAGTTCAACTCCTTTTGATTTTGACAGGTCCCACCCTGGAAATGAAAACCTATTTTGCCTACCCTTTCCAAGGGTGAGGTAGGAGTAAGGCATATTTTTGGACTTAAACATACAAAGTCCATAACTAATATGCCAAAAATCTTCCTACTAACTGAGACGGTTCTTTGTGCAAAAATTTAGCTTCTCCAACTAGCTTTCACAGTGATGAACTCAGTCATAAATACTGATTTATTGACACTTCATTAATACATCTAAAATAGATTTAAAATAATTTTTATAATTATAATTACTCACTAATGTACACCTAGAATTGGGAAGCTGTCACTAAATAAATATTTCCTAATTATGAATGGATATACATGGAGATATTTATATGAACATATATGTGTAAGTATAGGTACTCATACACACAGAGAAACAAATGCATTGGATGCAATAAACTAAAACATCAAAAAAGGTGACCTTAATGTCTTTAAGTGAGCTAACCCTTGAAAGTACAAGGAATAAAACATGAAAAGGCTCTTGTCTCATATTTTATATAATGGAAAATAACAAATCACAGTATTACAATAATTACTTTAAATGCATTGAAAAGTAAGGTTATGATTTTTGAAAAGTATTTTCTCTCAGGAATTCTGCAAAGCTGTTATTGAACTCCAAAGATTTTGTTTCTCCTTTATTTGTCAAGGCTTTGATGGTTTGTGTTAGGGGCCTTGACTCCATTAATCCCCAAAGGACAGAATACAAGTCTCAGCTGCTGCAGCAGGCAAAATAGGTATGAAAAGCTCTTGAGACTGACTTTCCTACACAATTTGCTGTCCTTCTATTTCTGTTCTAAGAATTAGTGCCATATTTCTGAACTTTTTTTCTAATTCTCATTCTGTAAATTAATTGAAAAAAATCTTAAATATGGCAGAATAAATAAGAAAAAAAAAGTGACTCCCAAACTGACACAAATCACCATTAGATTATTATTTCTTTTAAATAAAGCAAGAAAAAAATGCAAAGCTGCATTTGATAATCTCAATGTAAAACTGGTCTGTAACTGTACCTTCATTTTCCTCCTACTTCTTATGGAGAAAGCAGGATCACACATAATACCTTTCCTGTCATTGCTGTTGCTTAATCAGTCAACAAGAAGTAAAGCTAGTGATAAAACTAATTGAGCTGGGCCTTCAATCTCTGAAGAGAGGCATCAACACGTAGGATATTCTCACAAGCTATGGGTTTCACACACTATGAGTGGAAAAAGGGACACTGAGGTATTCTGCAAAGTACTATACAGAGCTTTGGTTTCAACTTAGACTATAAATGCTACAGAGTAAATGCATCTTTTTTTAAGTGTTTATAAGAAATTGATAATATACCTAAATATATGTAAATTTTAACAATTCCCATTTTAACATAAATTTTAATGTTCCCATTATGTGGTGCTATTTTTTTCCAATGATGACAGTTGGCATATGAAATTTAGAAAACTTTTTTCTCTTGTCCTTCCCTGAATAGCCAAGAGAAAAACATACATGACATGCAATACACAACTTCTGCATTTAGGTGTAACAAATATACAACAACCATGACAAAGAGTCAAAAAAATCCACCAACAACACAGTAATAGAAAGTGATATGTTAAAACTATTTTTCTACAAATGACAGTATTAAAAATATTCTGTGTGGAGTATGTCTTCATCTTGATCCGCAGGGTGAAGACAGACTTCTCTTTAATGCTTTGTCTTCTCCTTTTCAAAAGCTGAAAGGAGTCAATTGCTAAGACAAACATGTTTTCAATACACTAATATGAAACAATCAAACCTGTATTACAGCACTGTTGTACAGCACTTGACAAAAACATAAGTTGAAAATTGTTTTGTAGACATCCCAAAACTAATGGTTTCCGCTGAGTTTTCTAATGTGTCACATCTCTTTGTCACTTAATGGGCCACTCATCTTTCATTCTCCACATGAGGAAGAGTAAGCAGCACATTTCAAAAACACTTGTTTCCTTACCTCACACAAGGTAAAGTGACAAATTGAGACACTCCCAAAAAGTTTGAGTGAAATACATTCACAACATGACAATATTCACAGAACAAAATTCCAAAGTAATTAACAAGTTGTCAATAACTACAGGAATGTATGAAGTCACCAAGCCCAAAAAAATCTTCCCATTAGTTACAATGAAGAATATGCAATCCTGCAAAACATTAAACGTGGATTACATTTTCCTTATACATAATCTTTTATTTATATCCATGAGACTGATCCCAACCTAAGTAATGTGTGTTGCTCAAAAAAGAAGACATAGGAACAAAGCTATTCAGATTCCCACTAGCAGGACAAAAATAACTTGTTAGACCTGAGGATGTCCTAAGGGTTGGGTTCACATCTATTCAAAGTTTCGATCCAGCCATTTCTTCTTATTTCGTCTTGTACTTTCTACTCCTTTCCTTTCCCCAGGTGACACCATTCATTTGACTTGAACCATTTCCAGAATAATACATGAACACAGAGGCTGACAGAAATTGTTCGTGTAGGGCCCCTCCCTGTGCAGAATTATCCATCAGGAAACAGGTACATTTTCTGAAATTTGTATTTCTTCCTGAATGACTGAGAACTCACTTTAGAAACAGTGCTGAGCAATATACCAACACATTGCAAAAGTACTGCTCATGACTTTATACTGAAATGAACTGCATACATGTAGTGATGGAACTGGGAAGTCAGAAATGCTTTTTCTCTAATAACTCTAGGTTTTGTTCTTCCAGTTTTCTTCCTTCAGACAGCAAATATTAAATGCTTTCCTGTGACACAATTTTTGGTTTTAAAAAGAAAAAATAAATATTTTAGATCATACTGCTGGAGCTTCCAGCAGACATTTTATGAGGAAGAATTTTCTCTTTTTCTTGACACTGACATTCAAGATTAGTTCCAAATTTTTCCTCCTAATTAGCTTTTCCAAGACAATTGTATATTCGAAACAGAATACTTTCCCTCAGGGCATCAGAAGCTTAATCTGTCCAATTTCCTTTCAACGGACATTGAAAATAAAGCAGTGTGTTGTAACTCTGTGGGGAATTAAGAACTATGTGACATAAAAAATGGAAAAAGCACTACATAAATAAATTCAACATAGCAATGAAAATACAGTAATGAAAAATCCTTTAAGCCACATTATTAATACCTGACAGAACTGCCTGTTCATATTAAAGTCTTTTTGCCTTTCAAAGAAGGTTAAGACACTGAATTTACACAAAACTGAGGATTTTCATATTCACAATATACTGAGTGATTAGCATTAAATCATTTAGAAAATCTTAAAACAACCACTTTATCCAGCAGTCTTCTTCCTGACGGGAAAGATTTTTTCTTAAACTTTATCGTCCCTCACCTAACTCTTTACTTTTCTAATATCATAAATATAAAAAACAATAATACTAAGCATAAAATTACAAGATTATGGTGATAAACTGTAAGGCTATTACTGACTTTTTAGACAGAAATTACATTTGTAACTCTTATCAATGAAAGTAACTGTTGGACCAGCTTTTGGATTCTGATTAACAAGTCACTAAGAAAATAACTGCAGGTCTTGATTTAAAAATTCTTGAGAATTTAATTGATATTAATAATCTTTCTGGTGAATTGCACACTACCTGCCTAGCAGAAAAAGAGCTCTACAGAATGTTTTTTTTAGGACTTCTAACACGCACACTTTCATGCATAGTCCACAATAATTTCTACTGTATGCCATTTATAGATATGCTGCATACATACATGGTAAATGGGGGTGTGTAATGTAAGTAATACACATATAGACACTACAGAACTTCTTAAAAGTGAATACGCATCTATCTCATTCCTGTGTAGATTTATGCTTCACCTGTGCCTCTTAAACAGAGTTCAGAAAGGTACTTACTGATGTGTAGAGGAAGCCTTCTCCATTTAGGGCTATATACAACCCAGTCTTTACACCCTGGATAGCAACAACTCGAAGTCCCACTGGTATAAGGTTGAATAAAGCTGGGAATAAAAAAAAAAGAAGACCAGATATGAATATACTACAGTGTCACGGTTTAAGCCCAGCCAGTGGCATACATTTACTACTGTATTCTAATCAACATCATTAGTAAAAAGAAAGAAAAATTCTCCCTTTTTTTTTTATTTTAAACTGAAACCTAGTTTTACTTCTAGTAAAATTAATCCTTAAAATTAAAGCCTAAGTATCTGTCTAGCAATAAGTTCTGCAACAGTTCAGTATTTGGCACAGGTGCTAACTAGCAAATACAAAACACAGCAGACTGGACTGTAGTCATTTATGCAGCACTATAGACATGAGTATTTCAGACAATCTGAAAAGAGCCAGAGCCCAACATTTTCCATCAGTGTAGACTGTTTTTCAGGATAATACTTGCAAGAGATCCTGCAAAAAACCATACCTCTGATTCTGGGCATTTTTACAGTTTTTGATTAGAGGTGCTCTCTTTAAAGATTGCTTTCAAGGGGTCTGTGATTTGAAATTAAAAAAAAATACAACTGCTTTTGTGAATTACACATCTGATACAAGCAGTAGTACACAGGCATAACAGAGGTAATGAAAGAAGCTTATTCTAGTCCAGAGAATCACTGAAGTATGTGCTTCACTCTAAATGTGCTTAAATGCTATTGAGCTGAATACAGAACAAGTTCAAAGACTGAAATTTGTAGGGTGGGGCTGTGTGTGTGTGTGTAAATGTTAACCTGAGCTAATAGTAGATACCCTAGCAATAGATACCTCTGTGAAAAAGCCGTAGCTTTGGTTAGTGTCTGAAAGAGACCAGTGTGAAGCGTGGGAGTTTATTAGCCTCACCACAGAAAAACAAAAGTGATATAAGTAGGAGACACAGACCAATTCTTCTAATAAAAATTATGCCAGTACACGCCAAAACTAAGTTTACTGACTCATACTAGGAAATCAGATGCAAAGCACACATCAAGCAGTTTTGGAAGAAAAGACCTGGGTGAGCCAGGGTTCATGCTAAGTGTTTTTCCACTGTGGATGAATCAATGATTCACAGGTCCTTGCATGAAAACCAAAACGCAAACCATTGTATGGTCCACATGCAACTAAGCCAGGTCTCAGAAACATCGTAACACCTCCAGTGAGCTCCTCCAAATTTAGGAAGAACATCCATAGATGTGACCAGAAAGCGCACCCTATGAGCTATTTGCAATCAGAATGTCAGAGGTAAAGCCTAAATCAAGAGAAAAAGGGTAAATTGTAGCGTATAAATACATTTTCTCGAGGTGTGAAAACTCCTGGTTGGTCAAAGGGCACAAAGCCACAGATTATTTATGATGACAATGATCAAATCTTTACAACTGAGAAAAAACGTAGCTTGACTTCAAGACAAAATTACCTTCAACATTGTTACACACTAAAAGAACACGTAATATAAGAACTTTTTAGGAATGCACAAAGCCAACATGAAGCTACGAACTGTTGTAGCAGAGCACTTTCTATAGCTGTAGAAATTAAAATATATCCAAAAGAGCTCTGGAAGAACAGAAAAATAAATGGTTTTACAACTAAGAATGGAAGAGATGACATCGGCAAGAATTAGCACAAATATATATTTTCATTTCTGTAGTTTCCGAAATTCTCCGCCATGCAAGGATCTTACTGGATATGGGGCACAGACAAGGTTCCCTATCTAACCTATACAAAATAAATGTAAACCAGTGAAATATGGCACTCGTGGACAAGATGTCCTGAGAGTATATAGGCTAAATATTGAATGACTGGAGAGTTTTCAAATGTTCAATATAATCTGGAAGTTAAAAAAATAATCAGCCATTACCCTGAAATGAAACTATGTCAAAACCAGCAAAAGCACTATTGTGGGCAGTGTAGCAACACTACTGTCACAGCAACACAAGGTTTCAGATGGCAGTTATTTTTTTTTCTAGAAGAAACAAAATTGCAGGAGGAAGCCAAGATAGGAACACGATGCTAGAGGGAGGGCAGCAACAACTGAGGGAACACCAGAAAGGAAAAACAAACAGTACTTGTAGAAAGAAAAGAGGTGAACACAAAAGACAAGTCAGCCATGGAAAGCTAATGAAAAATAACTCCAAATCACAGTGGTTCAGTCAAAACTTCTGGAACCTAGATATACTTTGCTCTGTTACTAATAAAAATAAAGCAGCAAAGCTAGAAAAAAAAACAAACCCAAACAACCACCACTGAAGTAAGAGGCCTGTAACGTGGCAGTGTTTTATGCAATCTATAAAATTCCTACAGCGGCTTATAGTTGCTGGTGAATTTAGAAAGCACCGAGGAGAGCATAAAGAATCACAGAATCATAGAACAGTTAGGGTTGGAAAGGACCTTAAGATCACCTAGTTCCAATCCCCCTGCCATGGGCAGGGACACCTCACGCTAAACCATCTCAGCCAAGGCTTCATCCAATATATATATATAATGTGTCTTTTACCGACACTAAGTTTTACTTGGGAGATTTTCAGAGCTCCTGTAATTAGTCTAAGACCATAAAATTTTACAGTGTGATCTGAAATGCTCTAATTCTGCACATACAGAGTATTCAGTAACTTCCACAAAATCTTTCAGATTTGGGTGAAACTAAGGAGGCCAGTCTACATTCAATTATTGATTTCTAAATGCTCAGCAAGGTGCTTCACAGTGAGGTCGGCAAAACATGCATCAGTAAGGCACAGCATGTGGTTTTTATGTGCTCTGAAGCTGGCCAAAGGAAATTCAATTTCCTCCAGAACCTGGCTGTGCAGTAACTTTACTGAGCAGGATTTCTGTGCACAATTACATATTTCCAACCTTCCTAGGATTCACCTGTGCTATCCCCTACTCTAGTAAGAACTTGCCTTGAGAAAAGCAGAAAGCCTTCCAGAATTTGCTGGCATTTCAGGTCTGCACAGCCAAAGATAAGCCCTTACCCAAGGGGGGAGGGTAAAAAGAAACATGCCCCCAGCTTCCCTCTAAGACAATGATCCAAAACCAAAAAAAAAGTGGGGGTGAGGTCCCTGAACATCTTTATGTACCTAAACCCAGCCTGGTGAGTCCACCAGTGAGTTGAGAGAGGAAGCATCCTGGAACAACCCAGGAAATATAATTCTGCCTGATGCTCAGTGCTTCCATGCTGCACAATCAAGTATAAAGCCTGGCAAATCCAGCTGGAAACAAGATGTGAGAACATCAGGGTAATCAAGTGGACTGACAGGCAAAAATGGTGCAAGTAAAACCCTTTGTCAGTGCTGAGGCTGTGCATGCTCCCTTAGCTCTTCTTTTTATACCACCTAAACCACAACTGTACAGAAAATGATTTCTCTTCCTTTTCCTAAGCATGCAAGCCTACTCTCACCACACACAAGATCAGAAAATGGGGGAGGTGGACAGTTAATAGCAACAACTGGCATGAGAAAAGTTACTGGTTTAGGTGGTGTGGAGAGGATTTGCAGGAACAACCCAAGTCCTCCAAAAGTTTCAGCCAAAGTTAAAGTCCACTTTTTGATGTTGTAACTCCTTCCTTAAGCAAAACACAAACCCACCACATACCTTTTATCCTTTTTTATATGTAATGCCCTCACGGGCTATTAACTTGAAATCTGAAATGCCTGAAATCAGGTATTTCCATATCCTCATGGAAGTGTATGTAGGTACAACTGACTTATAGCTACAAGAAAACTGCCATTACAGATCACTGTTTTTCTCAAGAAGCTTGCTAGAGACCAATTTCTTACGGCTTATAAACTTGCTGTCTGTTCTGCACAGGCGCAGCCCTGTGTCAGTTAACAAGCGTACCCACAGCACCAAATCTCCAATCAGATCAAGGCAACTATTTCTTTGTTTCCATCTACGTGCCTACAGCCAAAAACGATGACTCCATTAGAACATCTTTTAGGTTGGCAACGAGTACAGGAAGGTTGGTATTCAGAGATCCATCCATCTTACGGAGGAAACCCATTCTATCCACTTGATGTTACACAAGACGTACTTTTTAGTATGGCTGAACATGCCCTCCACTGATCCTGTCACACTGACTAACATGATACTGATGGGAGAAACAGGCTTACCTAACTCCCAAAGGTGATGTAAATACATGACTAAATCTCCATGCAATTCTTTGAAGACAAACTGCAGTAAAAAACAGTGCAAAAATCAGACTGCAAATATTTCAGCTCAGTAATCCAAATTTTACAGCATTGCAGCTGGTTTTTTTTAAGCTTCATGTGCTTTATTTCTGTCTAATGATCTCCTGTACCTTAGAAGGATAATATGAACATTATTTTAGTAATATCTTCAAGCCAGAATATGAGAGTGGAAGGTAGTTTAGAAAGACATGAAAAAGTTAATACTTCCATATTAATTTTGGAAAATATACATAGAGCATTAGGAGCATGCATTGAAAGATGAAAATAATATTAAACAGTTGCATGATTTCTTGAACAGCAATTCTACCAGGTACCAAGTGCACAAAGGAACTAAGGCATGCTGCTGCATAATTAAGCAAGAGATGTCACAGCACAGCCAAATCAAAGATGCTTGGGTAATGTTAACTTTGGCATCTAAGACTTTATGAAATAAGGCTACAAATGAGTAATGCTCTTTTAATCTGTTTTAAACACAACTGTTAATTTCATAGGGGGCACAAATAGCAGCATTTGAGTGTTAAAATCAGGCTTATCACCCATTGAGGAAAGTTTCAGAATTTATGATGTTTTTTTTCAGTGGCTGTTGCCTGAGATATACTCTTCAGGTGAATCAAACTAAGCCATATGGCTAAGAGATTCAGGGTTTCAAACTCAGATATTAAAGAAACAGAATTGTATGTTTCCCAAATTAATTAGTTTTTCTACTAAACCTGCCCTTCATTCATGAGACAAAACTTTGAAGATAGACCAAAGACTGAAAATGAGTCATTTTGAGTGGCAAGGAGGACAGAACGGGAATGTAACTCTTGTTACCACAAGCACAACATGAAAATAATTTCCATTTCTTTATAATTTCTGTGTAGTAGCTTGCTTTTCCTAATTAATAATGATGAGGTCTATGGACAACACTGAAGCAAGTTCCATTCTCACCAGGTAATGCCGAGAACTGCTGTAAGGAAAATTAGAGCTAGAAAGGGATAGCTAAGCTGAGTAGGACCTCAGTAACCAAGACTACAGCTTTAACCACAGTCAGCCCTACTTTCACTTCAAACTATCCACAAAAGCAACCCAGAAAGTGTAAGGTATTAGAGGAAGAAAATAGTGAAAACCATCTAAACCAAGAAAAGCAATGCAATAAAGCCTCTTTCCACATACCACTAAGACTGGCAAAAACATACAAACTGCACACACAAGATGGTTAAAGCTAACAGCCTTGATCTGGTGATGAGATTTAAAGAAACTCAGGACTGTTAACCAATAGGTGCAATTAATCCCTACTCCATTATAGAACATCACTAACTTGGAAAAGATATAAAAAGAAATTAAACAAGGAACTGAAACCCATCACTCCATATAGATTGGGTTCTTACAGCATGGCTACCAACACAAGCAAAAGTATGTTCAGGGATGCAATTACAAGCAGTCACATCTTTCTTCCTTTTTCATGCAAGGGTTTGTGCACAGCAACACATTAAAAATCTTGCCCTCTAGCTCTGCAGACTCTACCCTTTACTCAAACATAAGGCAAGCTAGGGCAATGGCTTGCACTATAGCACCTGACCAAAACCACTAGGAAAACTCATTTTAACTTCCGATAGAAGTAAAAAGTCCCATTAAAGAGACTACCAAGAAGTTTCGAAGACAAAAAAAAAAAAAAAAGGGTGTAACCAGAATCACTCAGTTTGAACAGACTACATCTTGATCTTACTTTGTGCTACCTCTCTATAACACTGTAACTCCAATTGTGTATAACCTATGTTTACAGACATACATATAAAATGAGTACAAAATGAAAGATGCACTTGAGGGAATTTTAACTTTAAGCACTCCTCTAACTGCTTGACAGAACAAACTGCAACAGCACAAAAAGCATCAGCATGATTAAGCTTCAAAAAGATTCCTTGCTGAAGACAAAAAAGAAATCACTTCTCTGCCTCTCACTACTTCCTCACTCTGGCTCCTCTGACACATAGGTACTCAGATGGTCAGTGCATGAGGAGGACTTTTTCATAGGAACAGTGAATAGCGCAGAAGATGGGTGGAAGGCTGGCAGAGATGGACACCCTTTTGGCAGCATGTATTTTCTCCATTTTTATAAAACACACTTTGAATGGAAGTCATCCTCAGTCCTATTGACAGCTAATATATGTCCATCCCGTCGCCCACTGGGCACATCAAATAGACAGCCTGAAAGCTCCATGGTCAGAAGCAGGATTTTCCCCCTCTGGCAGCTGCCAAAACATACTTATCAGTAAGCTTCAGACAGAAGTTATCATGATAAGGAGCTCACAAAAAAAGAAAAGAAAAAAAGAAAAAAAAATATATTAAAAAAAAAATCAGAACACTGGGAATTCCATCCATGAGAAAAATATCACTTTAAAGTAAAAGAGAAAAGGAAAAATGAAATATGCTGTAATAAAGGAAAGCAAGGAGAAATAAAAAGTTTAAGAGGAAATGGAAGGAAACAAAGTGGAAAGGGAAAAGAACTGAGGAGAAAAACTGACAGCACAGAAGAAACAGACATATACTCATATACCAAATAGATAAATCTTTTCAGCTCTTCATGTAATGTTGATACATACATACTAGCAAAAATTAAGGTGGAGATTAATTTTACATTCTTATGGTCTAAACTGTCTTTCCTAAATAATATTGTAAAATTGGACTAGTGAAGAAGAAAATAGTGAATCAAACCAGTTAAAGGAAGAAAACAATTACTTTATGAAAAAAAAACACACCTTGGTTCAGCCTAAAAATCATGTTGAAGTAAAACACTTTATCTAACAATATTTATCCAAAATATGCAATACTGCTGTCTGGTATTTGGTTGAGTTTGGACAAGTTCTACATTTCAGAATATTTATGATATAGAATATTCATTTTTTATTTTGGAACAACGAGAACAAGGGCGATGGGCAGACAGATGGATATCCAGAAAGGCAGGGAGGAGGAAAAATGATAGAGTAAGCAAAAAAAGGAAGATTTGCAAAGGTTACAATAGCAAAAAAAGAGGAAAGTAAGGTACTATGGTCTAGTTTTGCAAACATTCAAAATCTACAGAATTCTAAGATTTAAAAAAAAAACCTAAACAGGAGTGACATTAAAACAGTCCAAAATTGTTGCAGTCATACACACCTCCTCACTGAAGCTGAAAAGAAGAGAGAGATGTGCAGAGAGAGAAGGTGAGGGAGAGGAAAGATACATGCTTGCACTTTATGACACAATTCTTGGACTTCTTATAGGCAAAGCTTCTATAAAAAGCAATAATGATCTTGTCTGTATAAGGTCTTAGTATCTAGTCCAGTACAGAAGCAGGCATGAGAGATGGACACACTGAGGGAAGAAAAGAAACAAGGAAAGTAGGGGAAAACCACTTGAAAAAACAAGCAGAAAAATGCACACCAAAATTGAGCAATCAGTTCTTTTTCTCAATTCGGAAAAAAAATACAATTGAACAATAAAAGATGATCACGCTATCTGTTGATGAAATATGTTAAAAATGATGTCTGTACATTGAGAGAATACCAGGGACCTAAGCAAAGTAAAGCAGAAACCTCAAATCCCTTAGTTTTTACAGCCTAATGCCAACATTTTTGAGAAAACAAAAGGTTTATTTATCTATGCATAATAAGAAGATATTTTATATTAAGAATGCTTAAAATAGACCTCAAGATCAAATATAAATGTTACTTAAATATGCCATTATCATTAAATAAACAAAACACAAATGTTCTTTGCTAAACAGAAAATTAAATATCAACTATTTCTAGAGTAAGAATAGGTTTGCTTAATTATAATTTGCAGCTGAAGTTATCAAACATATATGTGCTCATGGAATGAAAATATGTGGCAGTATCATAGGAAAACAGTACCAAAGCATCAACCCACAAGGCCTTTCAAGACAACTTTTGTTTGGGATATCTTTGAAAACTGCCACTGTAACAGTCCCTATACTGGTAGAAATTCTCTTAAAGTCACTGGAACTCTTGCTAGTATAGGGACTATAGGACCTTAAGCTGCAGTTCAGCAAGGTACTTCAGCATATGTTTTAAGCACGATTTTGGTAGACATTCATTTATTTGCTTTGCTGAATCAGGGTCTACATGATCAGATTTTTCAAGGAATTTTTGTTTCCATTGCTATTATTTATTTGAAGAAATTTAGCTTTTACAAGAAACTTATTTAATATAATTTTACCATTTTCATGAAATTATAAGAAGACAATCATTGGCCTAAGTGTCTCACTCCTAAGGTCCACTGGCTGTTACACCTTCCCTTTCAGAGGGAATACATTTAGGCCAATGTCTTGCACAAGCTGTGCTGGTGGTCATTAGACTTCAAATGGATAGAACCCTTTTCCTTCAGACAAAACACATTCAGAAACCCTCCAAATGCATTAACACTGTGCTTGCACGTTCATACTCAAGCAATGCAATCTGCATGTGCGATTATGACATTCCCCTGGGGCAGTCACTTACTAGAATTACTGCTGTCATCCTTGGTTCCATCGAGACTTCCATCGGGGTGCATTTGCAAGTAGTAGCCTTGCCTGCAATATAACCTGGTCACTATACCCTTGAGCTGGGGATCTGAAAGACAAACATATTTTGTCACTAGCCTCAAAACTTTTCCAAGAGTTATCCCTGCTTCTCTCACTGCAGGAGGAAGTTTGGTGAAGCAGCATTGCCATCTTAAATTAAGTACTACAACAGGATGGTCCTGATGGAGATGGGGAAAAGTCTCACCGCAGAGTATTATTATGTCAGTTGTGTGTCCTGTTCTCTGCCTCCAACATCCTTCATTATAATTAACACAGGTAAAACACAAGAAAAAAACACAGTAGCATGTATAGAACCTTACAGAATCTAACAAAACATTTAAAAAACCTTGCCTGTTTCATACATTTTAATAACTTACTCTAGTTCACATAATTTTTAAGGACACTTGGAGGAAAAGTTCTGTCTCCTTTCACTCTGTACCAAAAGTGATAAACTTATCAGGTATAATATTTTGCAACAGTCCCATCTGAAGAGTTCCCAAGATACTTTACTGATCTAGAAGCAGATACAATTCACCTGCCCTCTCCCACTCCCCAGGAAATAAGACCCACAGTCAAGGCAAGAAATGACATAACCCTCCTTCAACAGAGGGAAAAACCTGAAAAAAAAAAACTTAGCAAGATAAAAGTATATGGGAAATTCAGGTAGCTGAACAGGTAATACTCTGCCCTGTGTAATACTCTGCATTTAGGAAAATTGCCCAGAATTGGACAGAAGCTGCCAAGCCATAACTCTATGATTCATCTCAAGAATGATGCCTTACCAAATCACAAGGTAAGCTGCTGCAAAACTAGTTCAGTGCTGAGGAAGACAACATCACAACTTAAAAAAATCAACAGCACTACCTCTGAGTGATATTGGCCCTAGTATTGTTAAACATAAATTATCAGGCCAAACTCCAGGCAGCCAGTACATAAACTTGTGGGGACATTGGTATTAAAAGCATCTACGTCATATCATGCTTAGCTTTGCAATAATGACCTAAAATCCTAAGACTTTGAGAAAGGTATGTAATAAAATGAACAAGTAAACTTCCAAGGACAACAGAAATTATTTTCATGCAACCCCATGGCCAGAATATAAAATCCTCCTCAAATTGTGTGTAATTCCTTGCACAGTCAGTCATGCTGGGTTACTTATGGTATCCTAACAGGAGGCGGAAATAAACACTAATAAAATAACTGCCTCTGAGTGGAAAGCTCTGAACTTTTCTACAGAGGTTCAGTTCCATGTAATGATTATGAAAATGTTAAGTTTTCCTCGAATATCCAAGTTAAAGTCATATTAAACAATAACCCCATCTAAATTAAAAATATAAGATATCTATATTACTTGTAAATATAATAAAACCTGTTACTATAAATATTAACACTGCAAAACTTTTGAGGCATGGAAATAAGTAATATAAAAATTTGATGATCAACACGTAAGTACATTACAATTTTTTTTTTTAACTTCAACTTTTACTTTCCATGGATTTTTACATTAGCAAATGTAAATGTTCTTCATATAAGAATAGCCAGAAACAAGTATTTTTTAAAAAAATTATAAACAGAATGAACTGTATTTTCATTGACTATACTGTCTTAAAGAACTTCATCAGGCTACTCTAAAGTATTTTCATAATTTAAAAATGCAAAGTGACATTCTCTTACACAGGCACTATTCCTATCAGTGCATGCTTTCAATGTGCACTTCCAAATTGACAATTTTAAACTTACTTGCTTTACACATATTAAAATGGCATCCTAAAAGACTAAAAAAAAATATTTTAATAATATTACTATAACCAGAGCTTTACAAAGTATTTACAGGAAAAATATCAGCCTTTTGAAAAAGTTTATGCACCCAAAGAATCATGAGTTTTAATCATCCCTGTAGCTCAAAGAAGCATCGCAGTTAGGCAAAGTACAGCCAACTCACTATCACCAGCTACTTACATCTACTGCTTCAACAGGAAAAAAGTGAAACAGAAGTGACTTTTGAAATTGTTCTTTATACTCATTCTATTAATTTTTCTAAATTCACAAATAAAATATACTTTCTAACAAGAAACTGCACAATCATTTATCTGTGTTTTCACCAAAAGCATTATTTAAAGTTAACCAGCTAACTAAAATGATATCTGAAGAAAACTGATATGGTGGATAGCAATGCATTTCAGCTACCATTTCAGGCTGTGTGATGAGACAGGGTATGAATCCCCCATTTAATTCTTCACTCAAGTCCGAACACAACAAAATAATTATTATAGCATGAAACCAGAGGATCCTAGTCATGTGTTATGTATCACTTGTATTCAGCTTTAATGGTTTCATTTGTTGGAGAACTGAACAGAACTGTCCCCAAAACATGGCTCTTTCACTTGAATGTTTGAAATGGAATTTATTACTAATAGTGTGATACTAATTAATATTTTCATTGCATAAAGTATATCTCTGTAGACTAATAAATGGCAAAGAATTTTTTTTTTCCATTAAGTGTAGCAACTGAAACTTTCTTTTTATTTTTTTTCCCTATGGATTACTGCAACCTGTTTTATCTACCCCCCTAGGAGCATCTTTTCTACCTTAAATTCCTACCTGTCTTAGCAAGATTAGAACTTATTCCTGACAAGTAATTTAATCATGCATTTTTTTACCATTTGTTGATTGTAATATTTAGTTAATGTTTATCACAACAGTTTGGATCTATAACTCAAAGTAAAAAACAACTAAATATTTTAGCTGAACAGTGCTCAAAAACCAGGGTGGAACTGGACAATGTGGCATGGTATTTCTTTGATCTTAGCCAAAAAAGTGGCCCAGATTCAGTGATGGAATTGTATGAAATGACTCATTAATCTCAATGGAAGTCACAGTAAGCAATATTCAAAAAGACTACCCCGTACAGCCTCAAGATGAATATCTCCAAGACGAAGCAGACAATCCTGTCAGGCAAGGAATTTATCTCTCCTCCTTGCAGAAAGATAAATTGCCCTTTCAGTTTTTTTTTGAGACTCCTGGGCAGTAAGCAGGGAATAGCAATCCGCTGGTCCCTGTATTCCTATAGCATTGTATCTACCTATTGTCCCTTCATGATATTGCAGGAACAGTCTCCGACACTTTACAAACAAGCTTCTCAAACCTCACTTGACAACAGTTTTCTGTTTTGTTTTGGTTTACTGTCTGCTAGAAAGTTAGAGTGACCAGCAGTGCCCAGAAATACCGGCAGAAGACTGGTGTCTGCAGGTGTACCGGTACTTAATGATTTTTAACTCCCATTGCAGTGATACAGGTAGACAGATCAGCAATTACTCTAACCCTTTACACCCCATGCACATCTTTTTCTTCCCACATGAAAAAGAAAGGGAATGGCAAGAGAATACAGAAAAATAATACAACACAAACAAACACAAAGAGAGTAGACAACCTCATCAAAGACATCCCAGTTCATTATTTTATTACAGATATTTTGCTGGTAGTTCTCTTAAAGTCCCAGCTGCTACAGAGAGGTGATTATGTGAAAATTCCATTTCTATTTAATTTTAAGCATCTTGACTTCAGGGGAAAAAAAAATCCTAAGCCAGCAAACTTCACCACTGGATAAAAAACAAAGGAGAGCTCAACATCTCCTAATGATGCACCTGGACTTCTGATGCTGAACTTTTTAGTGTGACATGTCTGCAATGCCCCGCCATGGAAAGAATTATTCTGACTTGTAGTTATTAGAGGTTGTCTCTAAAATTTCAAAGATGTTGTACTGAATGGAAAAAGCAACCCCTTCTTAAGCCTGTCCTTCCACAGCAACCTGCATGACAGCAGCCACTTGCAGCCTGTCTTTATTGCTTTTTTCCTTGACAATGGCGACAGCAGGATGCATGACTGCAGTTAGCATGTACGCTTTGTCAGTAGGTTGTCCTCAGCAAAGGCAGAGTTTAATTAAGATGTCTTCTCTTCTCCCTCGAATAGCGGCTATAAAAGCAGCTTTGGCATTAACTCGTGACAGGCTGAGTGCTTCTCTCGCTTTAGAACAATTATGATACTTTCTGTTTTGAATTAACAATGTTTGCTGTTCACAAACAGAATGATTTTAGCATCCCCACCCTCAGAGACTGCCAGGACAGATCTCTTTAGAAATTGTATAGGTTTAAAATACAAGAGGGCAAACTCATTACACATGAGTGTTAAGGATTTTACCTTTGTAATTACATTTTACCTTTGTATTTACTTTGTTCAGACACAGATGAATGTACAGTGCTAAAAGAACAATGATGAGTATTCCCATTGTTTTTTAACATCATGAAAAATCAATGCCTTCCTTATCATCCACTGGAGTTTTAATTTGTAGTTTTTACCACAGGAAGGCTTTCTTTGCCTGTTATTATTTACTGACTCCCTCTTATAAGTAAAGGTAGTAAATAAAATCCTGTTTGAGCTGGCAAGCAAATGCTTAACAGTGGGTTAGTCTCATATCAACTCACATTCTTAGGGAGAATAAACTGCACTATCCACTCTGTCACAAAATGAGTTCTCAGAGAGTCAAATGAAAGCTAGTATTTAGACGTACATTCTGCTCAAATAGCATAGCACCAAACTCATGATAACAGCTGGTAGCTCCAGGTCCTTCACGTTTTACTTGCATTTCCCTCCTGCAGTTTATACTTTTGGATACTTCAGTACTTAAAATACCACTCATACACATCCAAAATAAATCAGGCATCTATTTCTTTAAGATTTACAATAATCACCATGACTTGACTGCCATGTCTTGCCTACTGATGTTATGATCAGCATCTTTTAGACATTTTCTCCGTCTATGAAACTTTTTATTTGAAATATCAAAAACGTTTATAATATGTATTAAGATTTAAAAAGTGTCACACCCCAAAGAAGTTGCAACCCCCAGATTTCTTCTGAAGTTGGGAAGCAAATACCCACACAAAGCACAAAGTGTCCCACCTAGCCCAGACCCACCTCCCAGGTAGTTTGTAAGGCCTGGGACATGTAAAAGGTGACGTTTCCTGACTTCTCAGACAAGACTACCCTGAC